ATATTTGGCAGTGAAAAATACACTTGATACATCATGACAAAAATTCCAAAGATTTACAACTTTGTACAGACAGTACCCAAAATCAATCAAATGTGAGTGATGGCAACATTTAAAGGAATATTTGTTCACGAAAGAATCCAAACACAAATCATGTATGCAATTTCTGCCCGAACCAGAGAAGGCTTACCTCTGGAATAAGTTCCGTATCAAAAGAATGCAGATCTAAGAGGCCAGGACTAAAGTCACTGGGCGAGTCATCTCCGTTCTTTCTCTGGCTTGAAGGACGAGAACCAACTGGAGGAGTACTAGGCTCGGCATGAAACTCGTTTCCTCCACCGAAACCCTTTTGTGCATTCCGATACATTCTTTGTCCCTGCCCTCCACCACCGCCACCACCACCGCCACCACCATAGAATCCATAGTCCTGTTTGCAATTCCACGGTGAAGTAGAACATTTAAAAAGTAAGCGTAAAAATTACATAACCAGATCTACGTTGACCCAAAAATGCCCCCAGCGCCCTCATTTGGATCCCATTAAATTTATAATAAGAAGAAAAAAAAAAGAAAGAATAGGCTGAAGTTGTGCTTGAAGAAAAATCCATCCCCAGCACTGACCAAGACAGTGCGAGTTACACTTTAGCAAAGTGCCTCCTTCAGATTTACCAGATTTAAAAATTTTTGAACAACCAAAATGTAGAAGCAGATCTAAATAAAAGTCTTTCAGCTTAAAGCATTTGCATCCGAACGTCAATTACATCCGAAACTCAAAAAACTAAAGCAATATCTCTTTAGAAATAATTAAAAAAAATGCAGACCATACAGCACTTCTCCTAGACTCATGGGAGCCACCCGGAGACATAAAATTGACTCATTGTCCACTAACTTCCTCGGAAACGAAACGGAGATTAAAAAGAAAATGGATATTTAAAAAAGAAAAAGTGAAAGAAGTAACAGATAAGAACCTGAAGTGGAGGGATTGCATTAGTAGATGAATGAAGGTGCTGGAGACCAGCAGATTGAAGCCATTTCCCATTAGAAGACGTCTCCAAGAAGTTGTCAGAGTACTGTCTCTGATGGTGAACCCCAGTCGCACCAGATCTCTGCCTCCCGTTCATCCTTCTCTCTCTCCTCGCTTCCTCACTACTCTCTCCCTCAGAGTTCAGCACCTCTCTTCTCTCGCTATCCACAAATACGTATATATATGTACTGAATGAATGAAACGTCAATGACAACTTTCTTTCTGTAAAATCCGAGTAATGCTCGCTCCGATCAGCACTTCTCTTCCTCACTCTCTCTGTAAAAAAAGCTCGAATATCCTTTCTTCTCTCTCTGAATTCAAATTAAAGCTTTTCTGTAAAAAAATCTGATACTAATCATCAATAATTACGATGAGATTTAGAAATTTTTTTATTCAAAAAAATAATTCTTGAAGTTGGAAGACAACGCTCTGGTAGGGAGTTTTAAAATTTAAAAAGAAAAAAGAATTAAAAAGTGACTTTGAATTTTTGAAGAAGGAAGAAGGAGACTATACAACAGACAGTGGCACGTGCGAAGCGGAGAGGAGGGAAAACGACGACGTGTTATTGGGGGGTAAGTGGGGCCCAAAGGGTTGGGCAGTGGGCCATGTTTGTTACCGTCCCACGTGGTGGGGCGCACGTCGAGGATTCAATTAGGAATGGGTGTTCTTTGTGGCTTTCAATTGCGCGCTTTCTTGGCTTGCCTTCTTATTCAAAATTCGTCCTTTGCAATTTCAACACGTGTCACAACCAAGGCTTCAATTTAAAAGTGAAAATTTTTGTCTTTAGTAAAAATAATCCTAAATATTAAAATTAAAAAATTTATACAAGGAGAATAAGTTGAGGTAAAAGTATTTTCATTATAGATATTAAAATAATAACAAAATTTAGAATTATTGTTGTTAAGTAATATTAGTTAATAAATATTATTTAGTGAATTTATTTTTATTTTAATAATTAACAACAAATATAAAACTTCTTGCAAAATGCATCTAACATAAAATTTTTAACTCAGAGTGGAACTCAAAACCCAATTTCATTACTTCATTTTGTAAAAAAAATTAAATGTTCGCGGAGCAAAATCTCATGTAAATAAAAAAAATTAATAGAATAAATTAGAAACATATGTAAATCCAATGCGATGAAGCAGATTGAGGCTAATAATCTTGTCATACCAAATTCTATCTAACAAAATAACAAATAACAAATAATAAAATTATGTATATAATAATAATAAGTGATAAAATTACAAAATAGTAATAATAAGACTACTGATAATAATAATAATGAGTTGGTGTATGACTGTTAAAAGACCTAACAAATTAAAATAATTTATGGTTGTGAATTTATTATTATTATTATACTCTATCAAAAATTGTATTATAATTATTACTGTTGCAGCCGTCAAAAAACATATGACAAATAGTCAAGGTAGTAGTGTATTAGTACATGCACCAGCACCTGCAACTTGCATAGCATAAAATTACTGTCAATCATATAACAAATGATAATTTATTGTAACAAATTTTGTTATTTATTAACATTTGTAACTTTTTCATTTGAATAATTAAAAAGCTTTGACTCATATTAAAATTTTATAAATTAAAGGTCTCACATCTTAACATTATAAGCTAAGAATTGTCTAGCTATTTTTTTATTATTTTTTTCTTGGTATCAGAGTCAAGTCATATCCAGCAACAATAGTGAAAGCTTTGGTATTGATTGAGATAAAACCAATGCAAGCAATACCACTGGAGGAGCAACAGCAGTCAAGACCTTGAATATATCAGAAACCCAATGGGCTCTTATTATATGGTTAAGTTGAATCATGATATGTAACGACCCCGAAAATATCCCAAAGGAAATAAAAGATATTTAAAGTGTGAAAGCGTATAAATGTTCAGCGTTTACATTCCTTACACAAATAACTTAAGTATCAAACAGCATTA